TCTTAATATAGTAAACATATGATTATGCAAAAGCTGAGACCCACAGTAGATGCAGAATTCATACAAATGTCTGTCTACCGGTGGGTCCGCCTATAGGAATCATCAGCCCACTCACTGAAAACTCAGATCCACACTTACACAGCTATTTTTTAAAATTAGGATTTTTCAAAAAAATCTCTGTCCACATGGAAACGTTGGGGGAAAAAAAACATGCTAAAGCAACAGATGGTGATGAAGCAATATTGTGGTGTGCAGCCTGATGTCAAAAAAGGCGACAAAGGTTCCCATCTTTGATGTTGCAAGATAAAAATCAGGTTGTGAAAACATTCACCCTGGAAGGTGTTTACTCTATAGCTTGGTTTTCAGTTATCTAAATTGCAGTTTCTGTGTGGATGACAGTCCAAAACACATGAAAAAACTATGTGAATCAAAAAGCCGTGTATGTGTAGACAGGGCCTTTAAAAACGAAAAAAATCATAGTCACTTTTTTACTTATCTTACTCATTTTTTAGTTCTTGTTCTTTTCTAAAGGCCCGAGTTGTCCCTACAAAAAACCCCGAATTCTGTAATTGTAATGTGTTTGATTAAATACAGAAAGTATTTAAGAAAAGTAACATTTATTTTCTTTTGTAAGCTCAAGAAAATTCAACTGCCCACCCAGAGATAACAGCGTGACATGATTTTTAAAGGCATGCATGTGATAACTTGTTTGATGCAGATAAGTCTCAAAACCTTATTCTGATATTGACAGGGTATAAACATTGTGCATAAAATAAACCCGCCTGCACGTGCTTCTCAACAGCGTTTCGATGTTTTGCTGTTTTCGCACTCTCCTAACAGGTTGTGTTTTTTTCCTTCTTTCAGAATTTGCTGCCCTTGTGAAAGAATAATTCTTCTGCTCCCACTGCAATGAAGGATCACATGGCAACCAACACCACATCCTGGCAATCCCCCCACCTCCCCCTCCTCCTCCACCTCCGCCAGCACCTACACCTCTCCTTCCCACCAGGCTGAAGCCGATCCCCACTCCGATCACTCCTCTCCTCTTCACCTCCCACCTGCAGTTTTCACGAAACACAATGCTGCACTGAAGTAGGCTGTGCTGTGCAACCTCCTCACGTCCCGAGTTTCCCCTTTAGCCGTATTCACCCTATTTATTTAATCCTTTTTATACAAACTGTTCTTGTTTATGTTTATGTATAGATTAAAAAAACATGCCTGCAGGAGTTAAACTTACATTGTAAAGCATAAAGTAGATATATAAAGATAACAGAGATTATAAAAGAAAGACCCTCATTTCCTTCTCTACTTCTGACTTTGCATCCTTTCCTAGCTTTCAATTTCCATGAACCAGTTCTTCCTCTCTCTTCCCTTCTTTGTTTATCTTTTTTTCTCTTCTTCTCTCTACTCATGTCTGGCTCAGTGCCCCTTACTGCATTCGCTCCCCTCTGTCCTCTCCCACACCATCAACCTATCTATCTAGCTATCCATCCATCCCTTTCTCCTCTGGTAATGAGCTGTTGTAAAACACACCAAAAGAAGAAAGAAGTCAAGCTGTGAAAGAACAAAATAAAGTGGAAAAAAGAAAAGCCTTGAGAAGGCTGACTCACTAAGTCGCTTCTGTTAATTCCTTCCTTTGATGTGACTCTTATCTGATTTTACACTTTCAATCTTGTTGTCCTTCTTTCTTTCTCCCTTCCTCTATTCTGTCACTTTTTCCTTTATCAAGCAGATCAGCTGAAAAAAAACCCCCCTAATGTTGTATGAGACGGTGTACTTTCAAAAACAAAACTGCTGTCTAAGGGGGTTAAAATGATCACACAGTATCATTTTTTTTTTTATATTTCTTAATATATAATCTGTGGCATAAACAAAACCTCGGCGGAGTGGCGGTTTAAAAGGCCATATCTCCCATTTACTCAAAAGTGCAATACTAGTTTGAGAACCATGCTGTCGAGCCATTAGCACAGTTGGATTCATGCCGAGGTTCAATTTGGGTTAAGTATCCCCAGCGGAGGACCCAAACAGGCAACACAGGAATCTTTATCTTCTTTAGTAGAACATTTTACTGCCTGAGCAAATAAACACAGATCTGAAGCTCGAAGGATATCACTTTATTTAGCAGGCATGAGACTATTGAGCTCAGTGTTGCTGAGACAACCTCAATGCTTGTTCCAACAGACAGTTACGATAAGTTTGAGGAAGACAAAACCCGAGGAATTATAGAAAGAAGTATGTGGGAATGACATCCTCTATCACAGGATGAAGTTACCATGATAACTTTGTTTCCTGAGATCTTTTGATGAGTTCTCAAACTCTAAATTGCCTAACAATCCTTTACCATACTGTGGTACCTAGGATTCCTAATAAACTACCACATGAATTCAATTCAATTCAATTTTATCTATATAGCGCCAAATCACAAGAACAGTCACCTCAGAGTGCTTTATATTGTAAGGTAGACCCTACAATAATACATATAGAGAAAAACCCAACAATCATATGACCCCCTATGAACAAGCACTTCGGCAACAGTGGGAAGGAAAAACTCCCTTTTAACAGGAAGAAACCTCCAGCAGAACCAGGCTGAGGGACGGGCGGAGATCTGCTGCGAGCGGTTGAGGTGAGAGAAGGAAGACAGGACAAAGACATGCTGTGGATGAGAGACAGAGATGAAACAACCATCATAGTAAAATGTCTTTGCAACTAATCAAAACATTGTATGTTAGTCAAATAAAGGCACCTGATAAAATAAGCATTATTAGGGTGTGTGAAACCAGTGATCTTCTTATACGTATGTAAAAGGAGACCTCAGTTTAAGTATGGGCCCCAGGGATAATAAAGGCTGAATACATGTCATTCAGATTGCTTCTACATTATGAACCAATTACAAAAATTGGTTCATAATTAACTATAAACAACACACACTAGCACAGAATCACAGAAAATGATTTGACATTTAATTTAATGTAATTTGAAATTTAAAAAATCTGAATGTTTTTCGTAGTTAAGAGTACTGTACTATTTAGTGTGCCAGAAAGAAATTTAAATGTGTGTTATCACACACTATGTCAAAGATGCTAGGGTATTTTAAAATACTGCATTTGCAGCATGAAAAACATCATTGCTTTTCTGATCCACAATCCTGTGAGCCAGCTATACACTCTGCATCAAGTTTAAGGTGCAATTTATAAAGTACAATACTGTGCAAAACTCTTGAGCTACACCTCATTTCTTTATATTTTTCTAGGAAAATATGACATAGGTGCAGAAATTTCTTGAAACATTTACAAACATGCATGGTAAAATATTAAATAAGGCAAAAAAAAGAGTTTGTAAAATTCTGAAGAGCTTGAAAGACCACCTTTATTCTTTGACACAACTACGGATGGGTACCGGTAATGGCACCGGTTCTGACATAAATGGTAGTAACCAGACCAAAAAGCACATTTCGGTGCTTTTTTTCCCCTGAGATGTCATACACGTTGGATTCTAGCCAATCATTTTACCTTTTCAAGGATAGTAGGCGGGCCCAGGTACGTTCTTTTAGAGCAGAGCTACAGATTAAAAATGCCCAAGGCGAAGCGGTCAAAATCTTGCTGTACTTCACAGCAAAAGATGCAAACTCAGCAGCCTGCCACAAGTGCTTTAAGGTGATACTGTGCAAAGGAGGTAACACCTCGAATCTAATGAAACACCTGGCGACGCATAGCGTTGTTTTAAAAGCCGAGAAATGCACCGTATTTGATAGCTTGTTGCAAGACCTCACACGAGCACATCTACTGCGGGTGTGATGCCTGCTATTGGACCCGGAGTTAGCAACATCCCCCAAGAACCCGAAGAGTAGAGTCCTGGCCCCTAGCCCTGCCAGTGTAGCAGAAATGATAACGGATGATGGTGGCAGCAGCAGCCGTTCTTCTCTGGGTGAGTAGCTTAATGTTGTTCGTGTGTAATTTACGTTGAGTAGGCTAACCACGTTATTACATTAATGCACGTAAGGTGAACTAGCAAACACTGTCGTAGTTACATGCGGCTGTCTTCTTGTTTGATAGAGTGATACCATATATGCCCAAGGCTAACATTGTTATCTTTTTACAAAAAAAACAGCTAAACATGAGAGGTTTTAGGACAAAGTTTGTGTTTTCCATTGTTTGAGCACCGGTTCCAACCAAAGGAGGTATGTTGTATCAATAGAAAAGGCTAACTTTTCTAGAAAAAAAGAGACTTCTAAAAATAAAAACATTCTCCATTCTTTAAGCACAGGTTCGAGCACCGTTTAAGCACCGGCACCGTTTCAAAGGTACCGGTTTGGCACTGGTATCGGATAAAACCTAAACGATACCCATCCCTAGACACAACCTGATCTCCCTCAGGCAGCTTTCTTGTAATTTTCTTTAAGCAGACATCAGGAATAGTTCTTCAGTGCTTCTGCTCTACAATCCATGATTAATAGTGTTCTGTTGTGTTTTCGTATGCATATATGCTTTCCTTCAGAAGGGCTGGACTGCTGATCAAGACCACAAGTTTAAAGAAAGTCTGACTCAAGGTAACAAGACAGGTGGCTCAAGACCTTTGCACAGTACTGTGACTCTATTAATGTTATGGATTGTAAAGGCCTGGAGTGTGTACTGAATGCAGAAAAAATCTGAAACATTAGATTTGGCTGCTCATATGTACCCGTGACAAAAAGTATGCCTCTGTGGATTTTGTAGGATGAGAGTTAATACTTTTAAAACCATTAAGGGTTCATCTGTGACCAGGCTGCAGTAGATGCTCATTTGCCCTAAAATGTGCAAAACGCTCTGATTATTCAGAATGACAGATGGAGGAAGTAGACAGAAGTGGTGAATTGCACTGAGGTACTGATGCTAGGAGCAGAGGCCAGATATGAGGTCGGGACTGAAACACACTTGGTAAAGTAACAATGCGATGCTATTAAGGTGGTATTACATTATCTTTTAATACATTACATTATTCAGTACATTCCATCTCAGGCACATCATCCTATTTTTATAAAATATTACATTAGGTGCCTGCGGTTATATCATCATTTTCTAAAGTACATTTGAAGTACAATTAATATTTAGCAATGGACTTAATATCACATGTTGAACATGTGGAGGAAGATGGTGAAGGTGCAATATAAAAACATAAAAAAAGATAATTAAAGCAGCTGCATGGCATCGAGCACCCTCCCTGAGTTATCCTACATAATGAAAGATACACTTTACATTAACACAGTCTTGGCTCTGATTCCTAACATCAGCTGTACATTATATACATGTCACAGACAGCGATTAGTTATTTCCAAAAAGGACAAAGTTAAAAGCGTTCGCATGTCATCTCTTGGCAGAAAGACGTAAACATCACAGGAGAGGAATGATGATTTAAGACCCGTTGTGATCAATGCACCCACTGGTTTGTGTTACAGTGATTCATTCTTACTATTTTACAAATCATTTAATGCAAGTTTAAAAAGATCTGACATAAATACACACCTCAAGTCCTTATTCAGACTTGTTTCTTCTTTGTCCCATTTTGTGTGACAAAGGGGGGAAAAAAGACTCAATTTTACCTCAGAATTTAACAGTATATACTGCCAAGGTCAAGAACGAACTGCTAAGCCTAATAAAAGCATTTATTTCAGGGTCACGATGTCATCTTCGATATAAACGTGGAGCCGATCGGTCATTGGTGGACGTGGGCTTCAGCTTAACCGTGGCGAACGGATTGGTACCCCTGCAATATACAAGGAGATAAGGGCAGAGGAAAATAAAAGTTGGGTTGTATGAAGGTTATAACCGGAGAAATGAGCATTACATTTTGAAAACTGTACAAACATCAGCTCAAAAACCTGAAATGAGAAGGACAGTCATGGTTTTCCAAATGCTGCTAACTAAAATGGTTTCAGCACTAGAATGCACTTCAAACTCTAATGGAAGCAGTGCTGTGCCATTTCAATCACTGCCCTCAGCTGTTGCTCTCCAATTGTACGGGTTCATGATACACTTCAAGAAAATATCATTAGCTTTTTTAGAAGAGAAAGCACAAGCACTCCATTTTAACAGCCTGCATCCAATTTGAAAGCAAATTTGAAATTATATTATTCTTACTTTGGGAAGAGCTGCGGTCGGGAGTCATTCACTTGCGATCGCTGTCGAAAAAAAAAGGAAAAAGAGAAAACATGATGAAGAAGGTACAGTATGAGATAGGGAGAACCATTACAAAACCACAAAACAAAGACACATGCACTAATGGGAGCTCAGCGAGATCGAGCTCTTGACCCTCTCGCCCTTTCTTTTTCACTTGGTCCTCCCACAAAGGGGCTGATTGATGACCTGTGTCAGGTTGCCCCACACGCATTTCGCAGTGGGTCCACAGTTGACACAAAGTGCAAAACTACATTATTACAGTAGTGATGGACTGTAAAGACAACAACAACTGAGAGCAAGCAAAAACAATCTGAAAATATGCTTTAAGCTCCTGGCACTCAAATTGTTTCTGCATGTTCCTAAAACGCAAATGCTATTCAGAGCACTTTCTGATCTCAGTAGCACCAAAGTGAAAAGATCGTTTCTGGAATTATTTTCAGATCACGGCAGGGTGCTAAAGAGGAGCAAACGAGGAGCACACACACACACATGCACACAAACTCCAGGCTCACATCAGCAGCTCGAGCTTCCTCCCTGCATCCACCAGAAAGAAGGATGTGGTGTCATTGAGAACAGCACCTGGCCACAGTGCCCCTGCTGGACAGATGGGCAAATGCCACATTTGTAGCAAAGGTCTGCAAATATCGCACCCCATGAGAAGTTCCATCTCACTTGCCTATCTTAATTTTCTCCATTATCTTTGCACTCACATGCAGTTTTACATGTTTGCTGAGTCCCACACTTTTTCCCAGTGTGGTTTTTGAATGATCTTTATCGTTAATAATCTGTGGGCTGGTGGTTAGAACTTTCTGTTTAAAACTTGGGTTAAGACCAAATGAACCACATATTTATGGGAAAAGGATGTACACAACTGTGGGAAAGATTGATTTTTGCAAGCGGGCAAATAAGAAATCATTGATAAATTATCAGCAATTACACATGCGTACAATATGACACCACCCGACTAGATATGTACAATTCACAGTGGAAGAATTAGATAACTAGTTGTAGCGTAAATCTCTTTTACAAAGACTGCAGATGATAGATGATAGGACAGAGGATTGACTGATATTCTCCTCGCTGGTTATTAATAACTGACTGTCATACCTTATTTTCTGAATTAGACATGTTTGAATTCATAGGTGGTGCCTTATTCATAGACTGCGAATGTGGTTTATTCAAAGATGGTGACTGCGGTGGCGGCGGCGGTGGTGGAGGAGGGGGCGCGGCCCCACTCTGACTGCTGACTCTTGGATGGTTGGGCAGGCTGTTCATGCTGCTGTTGCTCCTGAGAGTTGCTCTACTGAAATTATACAAAAATTAAAATTAGTTTGGAAATACAATTTTTTTAAAAGCACCTGGACTTTTTAGGTCCTATTGATATAAAACCTGGTATTGGTATCTCAACGATACTTTGTTTCTGTCCTGTAAGTTCAGGATGTAGCCCACTGAAATGTGTTAAATAAGTTATCAGACTTTATAATTTTTGTGTTGACTGCTGCGTATACTTCATTTATAGCTTGTAGCACATTTAAATCAAGGAACTTGACCCAAAGTCTGCAGTATAAAACATAACTACTAAAAAGTCCAGTTGCCTTTTTTTAAGCTCTTGAGACTACCACAGAAATACAGCATCTCTGTTTTTATACCCAACACCTGATCCCTTTCTCTCTCTTATTCACGAAAGCAGGTCTTACTTATTAGCCGAGGGATGGATGGATTGAGTTTTCACATGAGATGCACGGGCCTAGCTTTGGTGCAGTTGATAACGTTCACATTTAGCTGTGACAGACTGTGTGTCTAACTGAAAAAGTTTTACTTTAGCAGCTCCTGCTGAATTTCCCCACAGCAATAGGTCACCCAAATATTTTAAGTAGTTCACCTATTATTTCAGACCATGAAGTTTCATACTGACCCTCTTTTAAATATGTTGGCCCCAAAAACAATAGGGACAGCCTTGGGGCAACTACATCATGTTTTCTGCATCACGTTTGAAGGCAAACATTGTGCATGAGGTTTAGTTTAAATCCATTATTACCTGCTACTATTACAGAAAGGAAAGATATACTGACTGAAAAGCAATAAACGCAAAACATCCTCCATTCTGAGCAATACGTTGTTTTTGTCATGATATACCAATACACTTCTGTAACAACCACCGATTATAGCAACATGACGTGACATTTGACAATAAGAGGCACCGCTTGCCACCAGGGCTGATATACTTTAAACTACAGCAGGGCCAAAGTTTGCAATGGCACTGGGAAACAGACCTAAGACCTTTCTAGAACTTCATTCGTTCCAGCTACAAGTACCAAATAGGATTGTGTTTAAACAAACTTATTAACAACAACTAAAACCACCCACGCCCACTGAATATGAAGAGGAATTATACTTCTGGGAATGAAATGAGACTGAAAAACAAGGAAGAGGAGACAAAAAAAGGAGACAGTGGTGAAAGGAGCAAATAAGTATGATTTTGTATAATGCTAAATAGCTAATTAGTGCTAGTCTAACCTTGAATGTAGGAGTGAGAGACACTTGAATAATGTAACTTCCACTAGCCCCAAATTATGTTGTTTACTTCGAAGTTTAAGCAAGTTGGCTGGGTATCAGAGTCTGGACAGCAGGAGTTAACTTGTTAGTGTAGCTAGCATGCTGAAAGAATGCAGATGCTAGTAGCTGCAGTATTAATACTTCAAAATCAGTCAACTCGATCTTGGGCATTATTACCATAATGCACATGCTCTCTGCCAGTTAGAGTAATTTTTACATGCTGTTTTGTAGGACTGCTGGTGGTGTCAGATTATATATAACATAATGGAGAGAAAACTCTAGAACTGTTGATCACTGATGATCAGTCAATTTAATGAAATCTTTATTACCTGGGGGTGGGTGACACTGGTGGATCGTCCACTGCTTCCACAAATGAGGCTGGAAACCATCCTTGACTGAAATCAAAAGGTGACAGAAAGTAAAAGCTACAGTTGTTACGTGTTAAGTGAAAGAAATACACATATAGGAACATGTAACGACTTGTGAGCCTTTTAGTACAAGTGAGTTATGCTTTTAGTAGTTTTTATCGATGCTAGCTGTGTGGTTAATGCCAGTCAGTCAGGTTGGAACTTTTGCCTTTGGGTAGCATCTGTGTTCAAGTACAGACTAAATATTTAATTTTGTTATCTTTGCTTCATTCAGTGCACTTTTTTCATTTTTCTGTCTTTCTTCTAGTCTAATATTTTATTCCTGTATTTTCTATTCATTCATATGTTGGCATAGTGAAACCGACCCTTCTTAAGTCAAAGGAGCTTGCAAAGAAAAGCGTCTGGACTTCTATAAGTTGCTTGAAGACGTTTCACCTCTCATCCGAGAAGCTTCTTCAGTTCTAAGGTCAAATGGTGGAGAGTCCCAGATATAAACCTAGTGGGAGTATCCCCCCACAGAGGGACAAAAGGACCCCCTGATGATCCTCTAATCGCCTGAGCCAAGGTGTAAAACTGGGTGTGGGTCCCAATCAGCCAGAGTTTCGGGTGTGTTCATTGTGAAACCTGGCCCCACCTTATTAAGAACGCCTCTTTGCGTTCTTAAAGTCAGCAAAGAGGCACAGAAAAGAAGACCAGACACCAGCGAGGGAGGATAAGAAGGACAGACGCAACAACATTGTCATCCCCTATGTAGCCGGTGTATCTGAGAAACTCAGGAGAGTTTTCTCCAAGCATGACATCCCAGTGCATTTCAGACTCAGAAACACGCTCAGACAAAAACTGGTTCACCCGAAAGACAAAACGCCAAAACACAGACTTAACAATGTGGTGTATGCTGTACAGTGCAGCGAGGAATGCCCAGACCTCTACATTGGAGAGACCAAACAGCCACTTCACAAGCGCATGGCACAACACAGAAGAGCCACCTCCACAGGACAAGACTCAGCAGTCCATCTGCATCTTAAGGATAAAGGACACTCTTTCGAGGATGCCAATGTTCACATTTTGGACAGAGAGGACAGATGGTTTGAAAGAGGAGTGAAAGAAGCCCTCTATGTCCACTGTGAGTGACCATCTTTGAACAGAGGCGGGGGTTTACGACACAAACTCTCTGCCATCTATAATCCAGTTTTGAGATCCCTTCCCAGACGCCTTAACGCCCACTCACATCCTGGGCCATCTGATCTCAGGAATTCGCACGATAAGGTGGGGCCAGGTTTCACATGAACACACCCGAAACTCTGGCTGATTGGGACCCACGCCCAGTTTCACACCTTGGCTCAGGCGATTAGAGGATCATCAGGGGGTCCTTTTGTCCCTCTGTGGGGGGATACTCCCACTAGGTTTATATCTGGGACTCTCCACCATTTGACCTTAGAACTGAAGAAGCTTCTCGGATGAGAGGTGAAACGTCTTCAAGAAACTTATAGAAGTCCAGACGCTTTTCTTTGCAAGCTCCTTTGACTACGATGACCTGGATGACTGAGAACCTTCACAGACATACGACCCTTCTTAACTTTAACAACTACTGCTTGCACGAATTCTAAGGACTACACATTTTCTCAACACGCAGAATGTAGAACTGTCCAAATTTGTTGAACTTACATAACAAAAAGCAGTAGAACAGCAAAATATATACACTGTGTGTTCTGATAAAAGATTTCTAGGTAGTTTACAGACAATTTTGATGAGTAAGTAGTTATATGTAGCAGAGCTATGCAAACAAATTAAGATTTAATGTGTGTTTGGAGTTTGCTTTTGCTTATTTCTAAATGGGCTAGAAGGGCTTATGAGGCACTATCTCTATGTCTACAAATAACCCCATTCATTTTGTACTATGCTAAAATTATTACTTTTTTCTTATTAAACTGGCCTATGTCATCTGCAAGCAAATGACAGGAACGGACACTTTGCACATCCACACATGCAGTCTCCACGCAGTCACAAACTACGATTTTTTTTTACCGTGGGCTGTTGTCGGCACGTCCAAACAGCCAGCCGTTCCTGGGCTGTTGGACCAGCACATTAATTATCTGTCCCCTATTGAAGGACAGCAAGGTGGGGTTGGAGCCAACAGGCTGGTGGGCCACCCGGGCCTTCATGACTCGTCCTCCACCACCACCACCACCTCCTGCTGAGTCTGCTCCGAAGCGAAAAACGCTTCCCTGTGGAGACGGGGCTGGAGGAATGACAAATGAAACACGAAGGTACGAAGAGAACAGTTTGTTAAGCTGATAAACTTTCTTGGCAAAGAAGAATCTCTGGTGAAATTATTAATTAAAGAATATTAATGACTAGATTTTTTTTGTGTGTGTGTAACTCAGAGGGTTAGGAGATTATTAAGTGTCTTACTCCAGGCGCAATGCTTTTGTTTTAGCAGCGGGGTAATTCATTGAATTATACTGAATAAGCTGATGTCATTTTCCCCACCAGTGAACACTGGTTACAACCTACATTATTTCGCTACTGTTGTTTATGTTCTATTTTGATAAATCATTACTCCGTCTATTTTTACTCTAAGCAACCAAATAATTAGCCTTTTTTCAACTGAAAGTACAAATGAGGAGCCATGAACGTGCACGATGTGCAACGTTATTAAGAGGGCAATAAACAGTTAGAGAAAAAAATTGATAAAAACATCTGGTAGCTGTAAGCATCATAAGCACTGATGAATAGCCATGATGGGATGTGAATATTTAACAGACAAGCATTAACGTGACGGGAACACATTTATTTTTAAGTGGAACTAAACATCAGATCACTGAAATGGGTTTTTCATGGTGGCTGTGGCTCAGGAAATAGAGCATGTTGTCTAATAATCAGAATTTCGGTGGGTTCTCCAACCATGTGGGGCGATCGTGGCTCAAGAGTTGGGAGTTCGCCTTGTAATCGGAAGGTTGCCGGTTCGAGCCCCGGCTTGGACAGTCTTGGTCGTTGTGTCCTTGGGCAAGACACTTCACCCGTTGCCTACTGGTGGTGGTCAGAGGTCCCGGTGGCACCAGGGTCCGGCAGCCTCGCCTCGGTCAGTGCGCCCCAGGGTGGCTGTGGCTACACTGTAGCTTGCCATCACCAGTGTGTGTGAATGTGTGTGTGAATGGGTGGATGATTGTGTATAGTGTAAAGTGCTTTGGGGTCCTTAGGACCAAGTAAAGCGCTATACAGATACAGACCATTTACCATGTGTGTCAAAGTGGGTAAGATACTGAACCCAGAGCTTTCCCTGATGCATTGTTTGGAGTGTGAGTGAATCTTAGGTTAAAAGTGCTTAGGCATAGATAAAAGCTAGAAAGTAGAAGAGCACTATGGATCATAAATGCATCACTTGAACACCTAAAAAGCTGATGTTAAGTCTATTTTAAAGCATTGTAGTTCTTTATTAATCCGCTGCTCACCTCTTGATGGTATTTTGCCGAGGGGCATCTCGTCTCTGCTCCTTCTGATCTCCTCCCTCATTCCCACCTGTATGAACATATAACAAGCACAGACTGAGACTATATTCAAATCTGTTGTCATTTTACTATTCGTGTAAACATGAGGTACTGCTGTTGTTTTTGTAGGAAAGAGTAAACTAAGAGTGGACTAAATAAGCTCAAGCCTGCTGGAATTTCAGGTGCAAACAACATTTCTATTAATGTCAGAATCAGAATACTTTATTAATCCCGAAGGAAATTATAGATCTGATGTCCAATCACTAATCTCTCAAAGGTTTTTGAGAATCCTCTAAATCAAACTATACTGACAGCAATAATTGGGGTCGTTTCAGTCTACGCTGACCTTCCACAATAAAAAATGAATACTCTGCCATTTGTGTCTCTGATTGGTAGATGACTAATTTTCCTAAGAGGAAACATCGCCCACATAGACTGACAGGATTTGAGGTATGATGCATTTTTTGCATCTGATTGCTTGAGGGGATGTAGATGACAAATTTTAGGCCTGGTAGCCGTTCATTTCACGTGCAATGAGCTGAAAATTGGATGTTTTATGTAGACTTTACCATGTGAAGTAAAGCGAAAATTAAAATGATAACTGACCTGTCTTAATGAATCGTTCATGTTCATTTTATAAATTTTTTTTTTTAAGTTCTCCTAGGTTCTCATTAATATTATGTCCCTGTCTTGCTTCTTTTTTGGTTTCTTTTCTGCTGCTGTGGGAGCTTTTTTACTTGTTTTGTTCGATATGTTCTTTGTTCCAATCACTTGTACATACTGGACTTTTTTATTACAAACCCAGTTCCAAAAGATTTGGGAGGTTGTGTAAAATGTAATTATGATTTGGAAGCCCGTGTTGTATTCACAATAGAACACAGGGCGAGATTAAACTGCATCATTTTTTAGAAAAAGATTTTGAATTTGATTGCAGGAACATGCCTCAATAAAAGTTGAGACAAAGCCGAGTTTACCACTTTAGCTTTCTCTTTTCTTTTAACCACAGTCTGTAAAAATCTGGGAACCCTTGAACACAAATACCCACAGATTCTCAGAATCTTTAGAGAATAAAAAAACATTATTCTGAAATTATCCCACAATTTTCAGATATTTTTTTTAATTCACTGATTTATTTTTTTTTAGAATGGTAAACCTCTGCCCCTATAAGATGCTGTTTTTCTTATATCCAGTCATGTGACTGACCTGTTGCCAGTTGACTTAATCGGCTGAAAAATGTTCCTGCAGATGTTTTCTCGCAGTACAACTTCATTTTCTAGCTTTTTGTCGACCCATCCCAGACGTATTGCTTGTTGTTAAAATGGTAAATGGCCTGTATTTATATAACGCTTTACTAGTCCCTAAGGACCCCAAAGCGCTTTACATATCCAGTCAGCTACATTGTAGCCACAGCCACCCTGGGGCGCACTGACAAGATGAGATAAATTTTCTATGTGTATTCTGTTCTATTTTGAATAAAATATGAATTTCTGAGATTAACAAATCATTGCATTCTGTTTTTGTTTGCATTTTACACTTTACAGTTTTGTTTCTTTTTGGATATAAAAAAACCAATTAAGTATCATTCATTTCTATAATAATAAAAATAATGGATTGGATTTATATAGCGCTTCTCAAGGCACCCAAAGCGCTTTACAATACCACTATTCATTCACTCACTGGTGGAGGCAAGCTACAGTTGTAGCCACAGCTGCCCTGGGGCAGACTGACAGAAGCGAGGCTGCGATGCGATTCCCAACCCCCTGAGCCACGGTCGTCCCAATGACTTCACTACCCATAAATTATTCATTGTGGCATTTTTGAAATTACAGTTGTTGAGTGTTCACTATTTCTTGTGAAGGTAGTTTACTTGTGATAGCAGCTGTGGCAGATTAGTTTGCACCAGCGGGCCAGGAAACAGCGATTCATTTGAGCTTAAAGGAATAGTTCCACTTTTACTCACTGACTGTTAGATGAAAAGATTTATTGCACACTACAGCCAGCAGCCAGTCAACTTATCTTAGAAACATGGAGGGAACAGTGTGGCTCTGAAGTCAGTATACACATAGATGCTTTTTTTTCCCTTTTAATTTGTCAAACCTGACTCACAGGCTTTTCTCTGTGATACACTGGGATAAATCCCTCGTCAGACCAAAACAAACACTGGATCAATGCTAATCCTCTGATTGTTATTATGAAAGCATATGTGGGATATGGTGGTTCACTGGCATGTCGCCTTCCAATGAGGAACAGACCAGCAGGGTTTATCTCAGGGACATCTTTGGTCTTTACTTCAATAGTAATTGCAGCTGTTATTACAAACAACAATGTGGTTTTGATTTGTGCAATTATCTTTGGTGGTAATAAATCACTTTACCGAACTCAGAGACAGAAAAATGTGCACATATTTGAATGCTACACAGGGTTCAGATTCAGATAGCTTTAAAAATGTGTGCCGCATTCTTCAATTTATAACTTTATCCCTCCTCTAAAGGTTTTCTGTAATTGTGTTTCATGCACCAAGTGTGATTCGTTTTGAAGATTTCAAATCAATCAATGCTAACCACCAGAGGGCACTCTGGTAACAAAAATGTTGTGCTTTCCCCCACAATGGCGTGCCTTGGGTCTGATGTTATGCATTTCTCAGTGGAGATAACTCACAGTTGTATCGCAATTGGATTTCTTATCTAATATGTGGCTCATGAATTCAGTTCTACTCAACAATGCAATTTTTAAACTTTCAAGCGGTTTTCAATTTTAAATTTCCCAAAATAGACTTTAAAGAGATTCACTCAGTTTTCCACCCCAAAGACAGGATTATACCCCACACAGCTGCATATTTTTGGAGTTGTGGAAGTTTCATATGTCACTGTGGCCCCAAACCTTGCATAAATAATTCAGTTGCTAGGGTGAGTCACTGATATAGACACACTTTCTTCTGAACTCACAATGTTGTCCAAAGTTGAAGGTCTGTGGGCCTCCGGTTGTCTGGTGGCATCAACCTCTTCTGTCCAGGCAGCAGCTTTCTGCTGGAGAGTAACCCCGTTCTGCAACACATCATCATCAACACACACACACACACACACACACACATGCAGATAAATATTTTTCCCCATTAGTAAGTGAGGATTAACACAGTTGCAAGCTTAGGTCAGAGCAGCTTATTTTAATACTCATTTGGCCAAAAAGAGGAAACTGAACACAGTCTTCAGAGTGATGCTATTACACATACCATTCGTACAACTTTTGAAAAAACAAAATGTAGGTTTAAATCAACGTAGTTTTATTAGTCTTGCCTTACAAATATGCCACCAGCATGCCTTTCTGTTTACAAGACCAAAATCTGTTTCATCTGGAAAGGTTAAAGCTGTGGCATTAAAAGTTTGTGAAAAAAGTTTATGCGATTAGGCAATAACTGCCAGATGGGGCCAACTTTTTGAGCATAAGCGACAAACAAAACAAAAAAACAAAAATCCCAACTTCTGATTATGAACTCAGCAAAAACTTTTGAGTCTCTGAACTCAATATTTAATTTCACATCTTATTTACTACAACTTGATATTTATTTTGTAAATCATGGCCCCATTTTTGGTAAAATAGATATTAATGCCAGGAATGCTTTTGGGAATTCCCTGCGATTTGTTAGTTCAGGGGTCCCCAATCCCAGTCCATGAGGGCCGGTGTCCCTGCAGGTTTTAGATGTGTCCTTGATCCATCACAGCTGATTTAAATTGATAAATTACCTTCTCAACATGTCTTGAAGTTCTCCAGAGGCCTGGGAATGAACTAATCATGTGATTCAGCTGTGTTGACCCAGGGTGATATTTAAAACCTGCAGGGACACCGGCCCTCGTGGACTGGGATTGGGGACCCCTGGGTTAGTTGCTACTGAATAGCTGTGCAGTGTCTGCATTTTCTAAAAACCAAGTTGGTGATGCCCGAAATGTTTGACTTAAAGCTTCAAGACAAAGGTCCACATTCGCTACATCTGTGCTTTATATGCAAGCTATGTTGCAGACATAGTACACCCCAACAGGAAAATCCACCACGCCTACCATGTAAGGTGCACAGGCACAAGGAACAGAAAAAGGAGCCCAAGAGGGTATGTTGCAAAAGTACCTCCTATCTCCTTTTCTAACCACTTGTCCTTGACCTCGATGACATTTTTACTGTGGTCAATGACAAGCGGTGTGTAGGAGAATTCGTATGGAAGCAGGACATGAGAAGAGCAGTTTGCTGAGCATCCAAACGACCCTTGTCTCCTAAAATGATGTGAGGTCACTGTGTTGAATCAACAGTGTGCAGAATATGAACTACAGAACGCACGTCTTACTTCACCACAACTTGTTCTTAGCCTAAAGCTTCAAAATGAGAATGACGTGAAAACTAACACTTCATCAAAAAGGTTGGAACTTTAAAGAGAGAGCGTATAGGGCCAGATTTACAAAGATTATATGGCAGCCCAAAGCCTTCTCACACAAAAAGCTTTTGGATTTACTAACAGTTTTGTGAACATCGTGGATATTTTTGGTTTTTGTTGTTTTTTTGAGTTTTTTGGCAGCTGGCCTGTGACGTATGTATGATGTATCTGTGACGTATATTATGACACACGTATTTGCAAACGTGATTTACTCACATTTGTTGTGTGTTATTTATTGTAAATTGCACAAAATCTACCACAAAGCCTAATGCCTGTCGTGGTTGTCATAGTTGCTTCTCGCGTCTTTATGTCGAACAAGAGGGGTAAATTTTATCAGACAAAGTGTGTTATTGGTATGGATGGATGGCTCAAAAGTTTGTTCTGTCCTAAAACTCTTGACTCATAATTCACCCTGAGTAATTAGAGGCTTATTTCTGCTTGTCAGTAATGCTGGTATTGTAACACAGCAGATCAGAAATTAACTTGACAGAGCTGTTTCTCAGCAGTGCGCACACAGTGAGTGATTTCTCTCCAGTCTTTAATGAGTAAAATTGAAATGTTTGTCAAAAGCTTTTTGCAGCTAATAATGAGATTATGTCACTATGTTAGATGAATACTCAGAATGTTACCTTCGTTAACACAGGGCAGCTCAAATTCTGATGGTAAATAACATTTGTCATTCTTCTACACATCCTATAGGTCAGCTGTTCCACACAGATTTCAGTTTTATACAGTGTAATAGTTTGTAATATTGCAGCTCTCCTCTGGATAAATCCAGCTCTCCGCCTCAGTCTCAGTCCTCAAGACTTCAAACCCAGTGCCAAGAGGTTTCTAACAGAAGAGTTATCCCTCATATCCTTCAGACTCCTCCACTGATCTGACCTGCCTCACTGGTTTCTGAGAGTGGAAACTATACACGCGCCTATGCACTGTAATATTTTGGTTAGTAGGCCCAGATAACTCTCTCTCATGCTTCCTCATTGGGTCTGGGGCTGCTCTTGGTAGAATGCTGGTTAGTACTGCGAGACAACAAAGACAGCATCATTTAAACCAAACTAAATTCTACGGACGCTTGAACGCACTTCAATTAATATAGCTCATAATCTTGATTTAGAAAGTTGATATAGATCAATGTTGTGTAAGGCAACAACGGGATGAGAAGAAGATTATTTTTTACAGCAGTGTTATGTTCAGAGTTCAACTGTGCATTTAACTGTTGTTGAAACTTCAACATTGCTCAGCAGGTTAAGGCTTGAAATGGGAAACACAATTATAATTCACATTTACATGATATGCTGTCACTTATGGGATGGTGTTTACTCCTCTCCTTTCATAAAGGATGGTCCCAGTGTTTTCTGTGCTAAAGGGGGTAATAAAGGAAGTAGTGGAGCTTATTTCTTAGGGACCAGGAGAATTGGAACATTTCTTATTATGTCTGCCGCACAGACACTTACGCATCACTTCACTCAGTTAGGAACCTTCCTGAACAAAATGGACTACTGGAAGGTATCAAGTGATCCAAACAACAAACTTTCCAGATCAAAATCTGATCAGCTGCAATGAGCCTGTTCCACATGGCCCAAACCCTCATAGGACCTGAAGGATCCCCTGCCAGCACCCTGGTGCCACTAAACCCACGGGCCTCCTTGTTCACATCATGTTTAAGCTGCTTTGGTGGATTTTATGCTCCCCTCCCCTTGTGTTTTTTCCTCTTTGCTTCTTCTCCTTTGCTCCTCTCTCTCCTCTCTCACTAGTCTCCTCCAGTATGTCAGGGGGAGTAATTGATCCTTTCCCTGGCAATAATAGTAACTATAACTGTGCTCCTGTCATGTCAAATCTATTATTAAATTGCATGAGATAATCTGTGGTTAAATAGTAACTGTGTCTCTTTTGAGCTCCGGCTTCATTACATCTGCTGATTTAATCTGACTTTCATGATTTCGATCATTCATGAGCATCTTTCCTCAGATTCTTTCTCTGTTATTCATCTACTGCATTTTAGCATCTCTTTGAGCAGCTTTCAAACTGCTGATCATAAAGGCATACAGCAGAGTGGCCACATCTTACTTGCTTATTCTCACATGACGGTAAGATTAGTTGTTATGAGGTCATATTTAATATGTTGCAAGGGTCTGTTTTGTACAGTAGTAGCTATTTATCTATTCCTGTTGTAGCATACGGTTCAACCAACATCTGCTCAACAGGAACAACTAACATGAAATGTTGGTAGAGCGGTATCATAAAAAGTGAAACAAATATCATAAAAGTGAGTCCAGAGTTCAAAGACACAACCTGCAACCAGGCTTGCTGTAGGAAGCAAACCTGCTCTTGAACTTTAAAAGTCTGACAAATGGTTATAAAACAGGATGACCTCACTCTGGGGAATTATATCTTATATCTTATCTTATGTTTCTCTGACATTCATTAGTAAACTTCATCTGCGAAGCATCTCCAGTTAGTAAGCCAAAGTGAGCTATAAATATTAAACTTACAAATGCTATTTGAAGTAAGTTGTATACCTTATTCATGAGTTTGGTGAAGGACTCTATCAGGCCACAGTGCTTTTCTGCCAGGAAGCGGTATCTTCTCTCTTCCTCCTGCAGAGCCTGGTTATGGCTCTCCCTGAGGAAGTCCACATACTCACTACCACCCTGAGGATACGCCTAATTGACAGAACATGGATACAGAAAACTGTACAAGGACACATACACAAACAGCAGTGCTGAATTTCTCTCCAGTGTACTGAAAGAGTACAGGAGAGAAACGCACAAACCTGGCTGGGTCTCCTGTTCAGTCTCTCCAGAGCTGCTGCCTGGCTGCGGAGTTGCATTTCATACGTTTCCCTGCTGCCCTGTATGAGAATGCATATCACACCTGTGTAAAACCATCTCAAACGCTCAGGTATTTACATTAAGTTGAAAATCTATTTGTAGAAGCTACAATTTTCAAGTTATATTAAGTTCCAGCTTGATTTTTTATTTTATTTAATTTTTTTTGGACTCTACTAGAGTAACTTTGTATGAGTCACAGTTCAAAATAAGCCTTTTTAAAAAATAAAAATAAAAATACTAGGTTACAGCCCTGCCACTCAGTCCATCCTTTATGTGAAACAAGCTGGTTTAGTTTGTTGCCTTTTTAGGCCACCCTGGCTTGAAACCAGCGTTCTTCTGACTGGCTGCCAATTGCAAACAGAAGGTTTGAACAGCAGGTGTGTTGGGCGCCGTTCACAGCCAGACCTCTGACATCAGACAGATCCAAGAGAAGATAATCTGAGCTGTTAGAGCAGTTTGAAGTCTTCTGGGTCACTTTGACATACACTGACCTCATTATTTTTAGCTTTGGCCACGTTTAGCATGAGCACCATTGTAAGCATATATAAGAGGGAAAGCATAAGAGGTTCAGTTTACCCTATCCTGTCATACTCTTACAGTCCCTTCTGTTTTGTTCTTACTCACCAATAAGTAATCTCTGTCTAATCTGACATTTTTTTCCATGGAGTCAAGAACCTCCAAACTGAACCAGCGGAACTGAGAAGAGACAAAGAAAATAAAGTTACCCTAAAAACATGGAAAACCAGGAACATATTCATTATATCGTAGTCAAACACCATGATGAGCAATGAGTGTCTACTAATATGTAACTTACTAATCCCTCCAGTTCTAAGGTGAGTCTTCGCTGGCTCTCAGAAACCTGAATCAGGACATCTCCTGAAAGATGAGTGGATTATAAATATATAATATCTTTACAGAACAAAAACATGAAATTATATAATGTGCATTTTGACTTCCAAACTCATCAGGTATCAACAGATTCAAAACCAGATTTATCAGTAATGATAAGCAGGTAAAACATGTTCTGTTGTTGCTAATATAAGATCAGACCATCATGACTCTAAAGTCCTTTTTGTGTCACAGATACTGAATGATCTCACAACTCACTATTACACAAGTGGCTGATTTCAGCTTTGTGTTGCTCCAGCCTAATTTTTTATTGTTTTATTAACCCAGATTATGTTTATGGAACTACCATTATATTAGCAGGTAAAGAAATGCTGTAAGAGTTATTTCAAAGCGAATCCATAAAGACGTGTTCAAGGCTGTACTAACAGTGATTCAGAACAACAATAAGGAAACTGTATTTATGAAAGGAGACTGCTCCAAAAGGGCAGCACGGTGGCACGGTGGTTAGCACTGTTGCCGCACAGCAAGAAGGTCCTGAGTTCAACTCCAACATCAGGCCGGGGTCTTTCTGTGTGGCGTTTGCATGTTCTCCCCGTGTTTGCGTGGGTTCCCTCCGGGTACTCCGGCTTCCTCCCACTGTCCAAAGACATGCAGCTTGTGGGGATAGATTAATTGGATAATCCAAATTGCCACTAGGTGTGAATGTGAATGTGAGTGTGAATGGTTGTCTGTCCCTGTGTGTTAGCCCTGCGACAGACTGGCGACCTGTCCAGGGTGTACCCTGCCTTTCGCCCTATGACAGCTGGGATAGGCTCCAGCGCCCCCCGCGACCCTGAAAAGGATAAGCGGAAGCAAATGGATGGATGGATGGACTGCTCCAAAAGTACATAGCTACAGTACAATGAAAAGTATTTACCTCCTTGTTCGTTTTTCTCATAATTTGTACACTGTTTCTCAGATAATCAAACAAATTTCAATATCAGGCCAGTATAACCCGAGTAAACCCGAGTGCTTGAGCTGTAGGTCACAAACTGATGGCTGGGCAGTCTTCATCAGTTTTTGGGCCAGGTAGGTTTAGATAGCTTTTATCCCTTATTACAGGAAAGCCAAACTCATTTTCCATTGTGGGCCACATACAGGACTGGTAAAAGTATAAATTGCTATGGTACAAAATAAAAATGAACTTTTCTTTCATTTAAATATTTGTCTATTACGTGATTACATTGGTGTAGTATTAACAGCCATAGCCAATGTCTATGTAGCAAAAACCTGTAAAACTTAAATATTTAAGATGATTTATTTAAAAAAAAAAAAAAAAGATCATTTATAAACTGCATTCTGTGCTGACTCTAGTTATCTCTGTCTAATGATAAATGACATGATGATCTGAAATGAGGTAGTTTGCTAGCTCTGGAAGTTATTTTCTTGCTAACCCTGTTGTGTATATTACAGTTTTCCTAGTGTTCTACTCTTTGTGGCTTTATAAAGTGTTCTTTACCACTTTGTGTGGATGGCTGGTGAACTTTCATTTTTGACTCTTGGGCTTGAGGACCAGTGTAAGTGATTTGACTGTTACTTACATTTTTATACAGCTTCCTTGTTACTATACTGAATTGATTTCTTACAACACCTCTACTTCCTTTTTAATGAATCTCTGCGTAATCGCAATAGCATCCTGAAAGTTTCGCAACTTCTTCCTGAGAAACCTCAAAGGTCAGCTCCTGCTGTCAAGATTTATTGGAGTGAAGGGTAGGGGATGGACCTAAACACTGATAAGAGCTCTAACCCAGTTCCATCATCATTTTCTAGCCTACTGAAACATTGCAGTACATTCTGGAAATGTTCGACTTATTCAGCAGGGAGACTATATCATTGTACAGTGTACAGTAAGAGTAGACTAATGATCCAGTTCCTACAAGGTCTTCAACTCCAACTGTTTAAACTGTCATACCGCTGACATAAAGCAGTTAAGTGAACGGAGCACGGCCCGCAGCCTGTCTTCATCTATTATTCATGTCCCCCGCTGACATCTGACACCCATCTGCCAACATTCTTAACTTACATAAAAACTCCCTGAAACATACATCAATTTAGCTTTGAACCCATCCAGCTGTTATGAATTAGAAATTAAAGTTTAAAGTTCTGCCACATTCTTCACTTGATTTGAGCCCAATGCAAATATTAGGTGAGTCTAAGCGAAATCTTTTAGTCCTTGTGTGCACTGACTGTTGCAAATGCTGTGAAATGCAGTGCCTTCAATAATTTCAAACACTATGTTTAACACACACATCAAAGCTAATCACAAGCACACATTACGCATGCACAGCAATTATGAGTGCAATAAAATGCTGCCTCGGGGAAAACTGGGGTCCTCATGTTTTAATGTGTTTAATAAATGGCCACGAATACATCACAGACAAACTGCTCATATCCTGGTGAGGTGCAAAAACGTCTTTGCGTTTCCACTCATCAGCTGTGGATTCTCACATACCTATGGAGCGTGATGATGCCGTGTGGAAAGCTCTCTCCCCAATCTTTGAAAGTGCGCTAAAGTAAGCGTCACTTGTCGCAGCAAGAGCTGAAACACATACACACAAACACACACACACACACACACAGCACAGTCGTTTGATGGTTTTCTTTAGCACAGTTCATTTTCCAGATATGGCACTTCAAAAGCAGATGCTAAATATAAGAATATGGAAAATTATCAGCCCTATTTGTATTCAAATGTAACGTTTATATACCCAGGTCCTCTGCCTGTAATGTACCAAATGAGTGGTTGAACAAAAGTATGCAAAACAGTCTGAGAGTGTGAGACTGGCTCATTTCAAGAGTGAAACATTACTGATTGTGCTTTATTACTGTCAGTCTGCATTTTATAAAGTGACGCTGGGACAGTAAAATTAACAAGTTCTAATTTTGTCACTTCCTGGTCTTGGTAAGAGCTCAGTGACATGTTATAAGTTTCAGGCTCCGCCCTGAACACACACAAGAAGTTTACAGCCCCCCTTTGCGGCTGACAAAGAGACACATCTTAATCTAGTTCTTATGTCTGCAGGACTGTTGATGCACCACTGCTATTACTGATTAATTCTTGATACAATAATTGTGCTGTCTACACAAACACATTTAACTTAATATAATGAATATCATTTACATTTCATCATTTTAAAGATCTTCACATTAATGCACCAGCAGTGGGATGAGTGATGAATATGATGTAGGTAGCTGAAAGACAGAGTTTAATCCTGGCTCTGCAATCAGCTCTTCCCTTTCTTACAAGACTTATAGAAAACATATAGAGCTACACCTAAAAAGAATCCAATAGTTCTATATTGAACAAAAGCGTCATTGTTCCATTATGTCCACATCAAATATAGTGGTGGAAGCGTGTTTGTCTGCTGATAATGTAGTCATAACAACGTTGGTTGGTTACAGACCCATAACTAAGGCTGTAATAGCACCAGGATATTCCCAAAGCATATGAACTTTGGAGTTGCACTCAGATAGATACCTGGCAGCTCCCAAACTGCAGTTTATGGCAGTTATAAAGATAGTTTTGTGATTTTTCCCCAAAATAACATTTAAAAAAATTAGCAGCAGATTTTTTCTTTGTTTTTGCTTCCATACATTTGTTCTTTTCTTTCAATACTTACTCTTGAAGGCTTGGATGTAACTGTTCCCCAGTGAAACCAGTTTCTGTAGGCCTGGGTTGAACTCATTAATCAAGCTCTGTTTACAAAAGCACACACACACACATATGCACAATTACCACAGCTTCTTTTGAGTATTGATAGCCAGAAAAATGTAACAAACCCACTTAAAGAGGAATCAATACAATTAATCTTGAACTCAATTTATATTTATGAGCACACCCGCTCTCTCTCTCAACACTGGAGCCTCTGCAACACAAGATTCAAATCTCTGCTGCTATCAATTGAAAGCGAATGCTCGTTGAATTCGAAAATGGCATCACGTTTTCCACCTCAGTAGCCACGAAATGTTTCCATGTTACAAAATTTGCCCCAGTTCCCCAAAGAATCTCTCAAGAGGAAATCAAGTTTGTTTAATGCAAGTGCGCGGCCCACACAAAGTATCTGTTTCTTACCGAGTAAATCCCCAAGGTGGAGCGATGCAGCTGATCACTATTCATTCCCGACATGTTTATATCCAGAATAGTGCAACTGTGAATTGAATCCAGAGAAGGTCTGCAGGCCTTAAATCTCTCTGAAAAAGTCCCACAACCTCTGAAAGAAATGAGAGTTAGATTGGGTGTGGAGCTGAAGAGCGAGGGCAGCTCAGTGAGGTGGTAATCAACACCGGTATGGCCTGAGAAAGATAGGAGTAAATAATTAAACGTGGCCCAACCATAAAACACACTGACACATGCTTTGTGTGTGCTCAGGTGGGTGTTACCTGAAGTGAATGTTTTATTCAAGACTTTAGTACATATCTGCTTTCACAAAGTGTTGGAAATGATTAAAATAACCTGTAAAATTACACTGTTATTATCATATAAAACCATATTTTTTCAATATAACAGAATAAATCCAACAATTTCTCTCGGAATTCAAGGATTTTCCTTTCCTGCCCCAGATCAAGGCTAACAGTTTCCTCATAGGTACGTATTGATAGTTTATCTATTGTACAATTTCTTACAATAGCATTTTTCAGGCGCTAGTTTTTTCTCCTTTTCTTCTTGGATTAATACATATACCAGTTGATTTTTATAGCGGCAGTGTATATGCCTTGTAGGATGTAAAAGCGTTGAAAGCTTCTTGATGATTCTTATTTTTAGTGTTTATGAAAATGAATGAATGAACCTGTTTCTTCTCAAAGCAGCATTATTAGCTATGCAACTAATGTCATTTAAAGAAAGAAATATATTATTATGTCAACTGAATATTTCTTTTTTAAAATGATTGACAGAGTGCTCATATCCACCTTGATAATTATACGTTAATGTAGTATCCATGGCAAAAATTAAGGGGACAAATTGTTCAGTTTATTAAAAGTCCATATGCAGTATTGGATGCTTTGGATTGGGTCCCCTGGGACCTCAACACATTTGTGCTTTTAAAAACACTGATCAACACAAACAAAATGATTGGCAAAGTCATTAAAAAATGAAAAAATAAAGAAAAAACACTTATCAGACATGAGAAAAAACATACTTCTGGTGTCTGCACGGACCATAGTTGGTAGGATGTGGTTTTAACAATGCTCAGTTGGTACTAAGAATGCAGAGATGGTTTACCTCAAATTGTGATCCTACCATCTAAATGTCAGGGCAGAAATCAAGACTCGGATCAGAAAACACTTCTCCAGCCGTCCACTTTCTAATTTCAGTGAGCCCATTGGAAAATCAACCTGAGGTTATTGCTCTTAGCTGACACAACTGGCACCTGATGTGATCTTCTGCTAATGTAGCCCATCTACTTTAAGGTTGAATGTGTGATACTCTTCTGCATCCTTTGGTCGTAACGAGGGGTTATTTGGCCGTTCTCCTGTGACTTCTGCCATTTTCACCCAGATAACTGCTGCCCACTGGACATTTTCTGTTTTTTGGAGCATTCTTTGTGAATCCTAGAAATGATTGTGTAGGAAAATCCCAGCAGGTTAGATGAACCCATCTGGCACCAACAACCATGGTCAGTTTGAACTTCAGCGAGTCATCTTTACATGACTACATGCCTAAATGCAATGAGGTGCTGCCCTGTGATCAGCTGATTAGATATTTGCATTAATCAGCAGTTGATCGGGTATATCTAGTGAAACTATATGGAAGACGTATATAAGTGTAAAGTATATAAAACATAATCATTGCATAAGGAAGGAAAGAAATTTGAAAACCTTTTCACCTATTGTTCAGAAAGACAGGGGCAGAGTTGTTTGCCATATTTGATCAACATCTCAAGTGTGTGGGAGGAAGGTTATCGACTCCTCTCTTTACTTCAACTATCACATTTTGGTACGCGACCATCCTGCTGGCAAGCTGAAACACACACTGCATTCATCTCGCAGGTCAGATGGATGTATTATTGTCAGCCTGTAGGTTGTTTTTTAAACATGTGAGTGTCAGTGAACTCCTCATGAACTCCCAGGAAAGAGGTGTGGGTGTTGCATGGACAATGATGTATTCCTTTAGTCAATTTTAGGGCATCGATTGTCTTCTATTTTTTATCCTGATGAAGAAGCCAGGCACAGAGTCCAGAAACACTTAGTGAAACCTTTGGTTAATTTTTTAAGCTATAATAAATTACAGACCCAGAAATCTCTTCGTAGATTTCAGATAAAACCCTGTGCAAAAAGTGCAACAGCAAAATGAAACATTTCTATCACAGAAAAAAAAAACTTTAAAGCTCTAACAGCGCAGTAGCACACAACACAAAGGTCAAGGGTGACTGAGATAATAAACTGAGCTCAGACATGCTGGGCACAGAGTCTCACAAAAGCTTTTATAGACGTAATAGATCAGGACTGCATTTCTATCATTAACTGGCCAGCATGCTTTACCCAGACTGGCCTTCTTAATGCACTCACATCTTTTATAATACAGCTCAATGGACTAAAAACAAACCATGCTACAGGGCTGACCCTTTATTTTGTTTACCAAAAAAAATCCAAAGAAACCAAAGAAAATATAATGTAATATTCATTTAAAACATTCACAGCCACAAGAATTACTGCAGGCAACATCATACAGTTTTGTGTGCAATATATTGTGCATGCTTGTATGTTGAAGGCTCTGTTGTTAGTCTCACTTGCAAACTGCTCACGTACAAAGAAATGAACAGTCTGTCATTTTTATGGCAGTTTAATTTAATAAAGAGAGATATATCAGCCAAAATTCTAGAAAAACACACATTACATAAAGTTATAGATCAATTTACATGTCATTGAGTCAAGTAACACTTTGATCCACTACAAAACAGCCACAGTTCTAGCTCCCACAGTTACTGATAGTCCTGATCTCAACTCAATGTGTGTATAAAACACGTCCATCCATAGAATCACTTTCTTCCAATCCAACCTCCCCACGACCAAGGGCCAGATCAAAGAGCTGTGAAAGGATGTGAGGGACGTGATTGCAGACCTGCATAAGGCTGGAGTGGACTATAAGACCATCAACAAGAAACTTGGTGAGAAGGTGAGACCTGCTGGTCTGATGATCCAGAAATTCAAGAAATATAAAACTAAAAAAAGTCAGAAACTACATGGAAGGAGCTTATTAATGAACTGAAGACAGTGGGACCACAATCATCAAGAACACCACTGGTAACCATGTTGGTTTGAAAACTTACAGCACACACAAGGTCCCACTGCTCAAGAAGGCCCATCTTTTGTTTTTCACTGAAAATCTGATTCGGAGAAGGTTTGGGAGGAAGTGCTGTGGTCAGAAGAAACCAAAACCGAGCAGTTTGCCATGAACTCAGCCCGCCATGGAGAAAGAGAAATGCTGAGCATGACCCAAAGAACACCATCCCCACAGTCAAGCAGGGAGGTGGAAACATTATGCTTTGAAGCTATGTTTCTGGTTACAGGATAACTAACCACGCTGACGGGACAATGGACATAAAATCTTAGATGATCTTTCCTGAACCAGAACACTGAAGATGGGTCGTGGATGGCTCTTCCAGCATGACAGTGACTCAAAGAAGGATCACATCCAGGTCATGCCTAGCCAGTCTCCAGACCTCAGTACAATAGAATATCTCTGGAGGGAGCTGATGCTTCAAGTTGCTAAGCAACACCAAAGAAACCAAAAGGATTTAGAAAGTTTCTGTAAAGAGGAGTGGGCCAAAATGAGATGTGTGCAAACCCAGTGACCAACTATAAGAAACATCTTACTGCTGTACTTGGCAACAAGGGTTTCTCCAACCTCCAGTACTACATCGTTTCCCTTCACGATCAAATACTTATGTCACTAAATAACATTCAAAATAATTGATAGTTTTTACATAATATTTATTCCTCTAAGGATTTTTGAGCGGTCCTGGGTTCAAATCTTTCATTTTTCAGCCTTTCTGCATGGTGTCTCCATGTTCTTATGTGTGAGTGGTTGTCTGTCTTTCTGTGTTGGCCATGCAACAGTTTCTGCAGGGTATCAACTAATTATTTCCCCCACTGAAGTACTTGCACACTCACATGTTCTGGAAAGAAAGCTACAATAACACATGCTACTGCGGCAGTGCTCAGACACTTGCTATGTGCTACTTAATGTGACTTGCTTCTATTTACATTTCTCAGTTACCTCTCTTCATATCTAAACGACTCATTAATCTTTTTTAATATTCTCGATCTAGTGAAGCCCATGAGCTTTTTTCCACAGCAGACATCTTGGATGTCATCTCCCTCACCTATCTTAAGTTTGAGCCTTTAATACCTGTGACTTTGAGCAGTCTTAAGGTAAATCCCCTTGTTACAAGTGTGAGAATGCATACTGCAACGCTCATTTTCATACCAGGGAGACAGGGATTGTTCCCACACCAGCCTATATGCTGGCTCCCATTTTCTATCTAAAGCACATGCATAAATACATTTTTTTTAATTAAGAGTGTGCATCACACGGTGTAATGAAACCTCTTATTAGTTCGGGGTCTTTATCACACACACACACACACACACACACACTAGGGTCATCATTTTGTCATCTCTGCTGCTGTGGCGCTGTTCCACAGGGAGCCTCCCGGGTGAATTATGGCTCTGCACACATCACATTACAGTATAGCCGGTCTGTAATGTGTTGTTGAGCTGGAAAATATAGCTGTAGCCAAAGGGCCGAAAAACTAATTTTCTCGTGTAATGGGAGGGTTTTTTTTTTATGTATGTATGCAGGACAAAGCTGGCTCAGAATTTGATGGAAGCTGAAGTGAAAATGGAAAGAACAAAATCACCTCTCCTCCAAAATTTCTTTGCATGTATTCTGCAAAATAAAATTTATCTGTGAAAACGGGGGAGAAAAGGGTCGCTCGTCCAAACCGCCCTCCCCAAAGGTTAAAGTTGTGCTGTTAAACACAGTGCAGGTGGGGGACAGGTGTGTCCTGTATTTTTATTTTTTTTTTACATTCAACTTCTCCTCTCTCTCCTCCATCTCTCTCCCCCTCGTGATTCCGTCTCGGCATTAACAGGCTGGATTTTTTGCCTGAAAACCGAGGACATGCGCGCTGAACAGGAGGAGGAGGAGGTGGAACACACGATCTGCTTCTGATATTTTCTGTTGACTCCGTGATCACTCAATTATGGTGCGGAACTCTCATTTTTCCATCTCCTGTTTTTTTTTTTCTCTTAAAGCGGGGATGTGAGGAGTGATTTTTGTCCCTCTCTCTCATTTATACAGACTAAACTTCAGTCATTTCACACTTTATTTAGCTTTATTTGGTGGCAAGATTCCTTTTTTATTTCTTGCAGATAAGGAGTGTTATTATTATTATTGTTATTAGATTTTTCTAATAATCGATCGCCCCCGCCGCCACCCTGAAGTTCATCGTTATTATATTGGCCGCCGGGATGGTGGCCTTCATCGGAGCGGTTATCTGCATCATCGCGGCTGTCCACACCGGATCCTCCAAGGCTGCTGCGGCTCAACAGCAACCAGCAGTCGACAACCACTCGCTGTACCCGGACGCCGCGGCGCAGACACCCGCCGCTGCGGGCTCCGTGGCCCGGCCCGGCTCCCTGGGTGCTCTCCACGGTTCTGAAACGCCCGATTCAGAAGCTCCTACCTTCAACATCGGGCTCGGCGGGCTGGACGGGGTCACCGGACTCACCGGACATGACCCGACCGTCAGTCGGCTGATCTGCACTCCGATCCCAGCCGGGGAGTGCAACCCGAAAAACTTTCAGCAACAAGCGGACGACCCGTCGTTGTACGCAGGCGAAGACTGGGGCTACCTCCGCACCACCGCGGAGGAGCTCCGGCAGACCGTTCTGCAGCAGAAAGACCAAATCTTAACAGACCAGCGGACCATAAGGGATCTGACGGGGAAGCTGTCCGAGTGTGAGAAGGGGCTGGACGGGAAAAGTGGTAGGAGCAGCGGCAGCAGCAGCGCGGGAAGACGTGGGAGCTCCGCGGCGCTGCGAGGAGGAAAAGGCGCGGCGCAGGAGGCGCACCTGGACCGGATCATGGTGCGGGACAGCCCGTCTGCGACCTCCGACGGTGTCCACCTGCTCACAGTGCGAGCTGTGGATGAACTGGAGCAGGCTATAACTCAGCTCAAAGACCGTATAGAGAAACTGGAGGTAGGTAGAGTGTCGAGAAAAGCACACAAACCACACTCTGCATACAAATCAAGCAGCACTTGATCGAGGTGTAATTAATCCCAGGGAGCAGTATTTAGTCACCACAGGCACCTGAGGGCACAAAGAAGAATCTCCACAGTGTAAGACTGATGGAGAGGGAGCTGTTTTAAATATTTATAACACACTCCTCCATGCTGGCCACTGTGAAGACACCTAGCTGTTTATTTCTTCTTCACTCTAGAGCTCCCTTTAGGATTTATGGATATGACCCATGAAAACAAGGGGTTTATTTTTTTCAGTGAACTATCTGCTACAGTGTTTGTGTCAGTTGTTAATAACACCTAATTTTCTCCATGTCATCACACCTGACATATGTAATGAAGCCCACATACACTGTTGCTAATTCCAGAACTGAAATGATAAAATAATGGAAAGAGTGAAGAGTGATGCGTGCAGGGAGAGCAGGAGGCAGTGAAGGAAAGAAGACAGCAGAGTGACATCAAACACGCTCTTACTTGACCAGATTCAGATGAAGGATAACCTCATTTTGGGGCTAAAGAAATGACATGAATAATTCAGGAGGTTCCTGTTTGTTTGGTCCAAACACAGGCTGATTGTGTTTCCCTGCAGTTCTGCTCCTCTGATGTAGTTTATGTAGGACATGCTTGTGTGGTGGGTCACTTCCTTTGTTCGGTCTGTTGTGTCTGCATTGCCACTGTCAGAGAAAACCTCTATAGGATGCATCCATGTGATCTGTCACACATAACCTTATCACCCTACACTGCTGTCAGACGACTTTCATCCCTGTTCTCACAGAACTTAAGTTGTGCCTGAGTTGAATTCCTGCTCTGTTGCTATTTTATCTCTTGTTTTTTTCTTTCGCCCACGTACTCCCCCCCCCCCAAACTGTTTCTTCCACCATCCAAGTCACGTACAGGTACAGCAGATTTAGATTTTTTTTTCAGACCTTGTGAACTGGTGGTCAAAGGTGGAAAGCACTGGTTAAATCCCCTGAACCTAGCTTTCTTCTTGCATGTGGTCTGCAGATGTTGTTTTGCATCATGTCTAGTCTGCTGCAGCTCCTAATACAGCCAGCTATGCCCAAATATTTGTACAGCCAGAAAAACAAAAAGGAAAAATAACTGTCATGATGTCTCCTCACGTATCAGGAGAGCAATTAATCTGAATTGAACATATCCCATCAGCATTAACACATTAGCTTCAATATATTACAGCAGAAGCACCACACAGTGCTTGAAAATTTAAATCAAAGAGCCTTCTCGTTCTGGGTATTATTGTCTGTATTATACAGTAAGCATCAGTTTTTCAGGAGCATGAATAAAAATATTTAATTACTGCAGAGGCTGACTTGACTTTTGCTCCAGTGCCACTGTGCGTGCTTTATTTTCACTTGTGTTTTTAGTAACGTATTTCAACCACTTCTGAATGTCCTGAAATTTGCAGGATGAGCTCTAATTTGGATGTGCTGCTGATATTTCATCTGTGACCAACATTAGGTTAAAACCTCACATGTGAAACTCGGTCTGCATTTTGCTCAAAGCACTGTTGTGCTTTTAAATACAGCCTCACAGACAAAGAAAGACACACAAAGAAATATGGCAAAAAAACCCCCAAACAAACTCTCCTAATCATCTCTGAGATCATGCCAACAAATGTACTAGCAGTTACAGTTGGCGCTGCAGTACAGACTTATAAAGCAGAACTAATGTGAGCATCATTTTTTTTAGGGTAGCTCAGGTGGTACAGCAGGTCTTCTACTAAAGGTGGTGGGAGGGGCAGATCACCAGGGAGGCAAAGGGAGCGACTGGCACCCTGACTAGACCTCTCGCCCCATCTTTGGCCCCTCATGTAAAATCTTCTAGATCCGCCAGTGGTTGGTAGTTTGATTTCTCGCTTTTCCAGCCTCTAGTCTGCAGGCCAAAGTATCCTTGGGTAAGATACTGATCCTGAAATTGTTCTCTAATGTGTGAATGTTAGATATAAAACACTTAAGCAGGAAAAAAAAAGAGTTTTTGTGAATGGGTGAATGAGACAAGTTGAATACTGTTGGCTCCTTAAGTAAAGTAGAGCTGTGCTATAAACCAGAACCAGACCAGTTACTATTTCCCATAATATTAACAATGAATGAAGCATGACGACACATCTGTTTCAGAATCAGCGATTAAAGCTTTTTTTGTTTTAGCTTGACGATAATGACATATTGCACCTTCCTGGAAAAAGCCTTGCTGACAGTTTTATTGCTGATTTTATCAGAAAATGCACCCAGTCCTGCAAAGTGGTGTTTTTATGGCTGGAGAGATTGCTAAAGTACATCTTAATATAATGCTGTGAGCATTTCATTGGAAATTCCATCTGTCATCTATCTTTGCTCCATCAAAAACCTTGCATATGCATTAAAGCTGCATATACATGTTCAGCGTGTTTCTCATGAGTATAGTATATTTCCCAGGCATCTCTGTATATTTAGACTGCATATACCATGTAAAAATGTGCTCGGGGAACAGCCTGGACAAGCAGGTTTGAGGAAACTTGCTGAGTCTTTATTTACCTCAGTGCTTCCTTTGTGGTTTGAGTGTTCAGTGAATCACGTTAATATGGAATTGTGAGTTTCTGTTGTTTGGTGTGTGATACCTAACTGAAAAGAAAAAAAATTCTCTTTAGACATGAGATGACTCACCATATTTAGCAACTCAATAAACATTTTTTTTGCCATTTTCTCTGGAGCAACAAGTGCTATTAAGTTTAGACTGCTTTATTCATGCTTCTGTTGTTTTAGTGGAAAGTGAAGCCTTAGGATAAATTATGGCCAATGAAGGAAAAATTAGTCAATGTTTAGCTGCGGTGAACTTAGAGATTCAATAAAGATGCTCCCTTATTCGCAAGGTGTCACCACAGCAGGCAGACTTTTTACTCTGGATGCCCTCTCTCACACAACACCAGAGGGATTTGTGTCTCCTTCTGCATTTGAACTGAGGATCTTTTGCTTGCTAGGCAAATGTGTAAACCACTATACTGTGGCGCCTCTAAAACACAGAGATCCACTATTATTAAGAATATAAAAAAAAAAACAGTTTAGAGGAATATTATATAGAAATACATTTATTTAGAATTTTTGCCAAGAGCTGATATCATCTAACTCCCTTCTATCTGCCTGCTTCGTACTGACCTGGCTGTCTGAAGACTGAAAAAAAGCGGGCGTGCTCTGTTTGCAGGTAGGCTGAACTGAAGCAGGTGTTTGGGGAACTGGAGACCAGCTCGCAGTTAGAGTTTAGTAGGGCGTGTGGCAGACAGAGAGTGGGCAGGGAGAGGAGCTGAAAAAAGCAGAATAAACCTTGATGCAAAATGAGTCTAGTCAGCTGGAGTAAACTTACAAAGAACTGAGACAATTTGCATGTTAATGATCAAGGAACTGACCTCACAGCCCATTGTTCTTCAAATGTACATTTTATAAGCTTGGGGAAACCTGCAGTCAGCTGAGACTGAAGACGTCACTTGGATGACTAATGAAACGTTTCTCCCACAAAATGTTACGTCCAGATGAACAGAATCAACCTTTTGGGAACTGAGAAAGTTGCACTTATCCAACAAAAGGCATCTGGAAAAATTGAAGCTAAGATACTAGTGAGGATAGTGATATACAGTATATATACATATGAGTGAAGCAGGGACAAATGTCTGTTAAGATTGATATACAGTATATATACACATATATGAAATAAAAAGCCAAAGTATAAAAATAAAATGTTCTCTTCTTATTGGAGTTTGTGCCAGACTATTTTTGCCTGCATGCCAACCAAGCAAACTGTGCAACAGGATAGAAATAGACTCACACACGCTCAGAAAACATGCTTCCCAAAATGCTGATGTGTTCTTTTAAGTGGAAAAAAGGTTAAACCTATCCGCAGCATATAAAGACTCCTTATTAAATCAGTCAATCAGTTCTTTTTCCTTTTCCCCAAAACATAGTTTTAGTGTTAGAGTTCAGAGCTAGGGTATACATGAAGTTTGGATAAAGAACTTGTTGCTGCGTCTTTTCTTTTCATATAATACCCATACTGCTAGAATTACTAAACAGAATTCCATAGAGACTGTGCACTTTTATTTCATCCTTAGACTGTATAAACCACATTCTGACCAAGTTTTCTTCCACTGACTTCCTCCTCTGCAGTCAGATATTGGCCCATTTCCTCACAACCAGACAGACAGCAACACCTCCGGAGTGCCAGAGGAAGGTGGGATGTCTGGCAGCCCAGAAAGGTTGCCTGATCTTGGGCACAGAGCTGGTTCTGACAGCTCCTGGAGGATGGACGACTTAGAGGTCGAGCTGGAGAAGAAGGTACAGCTTCTCGAGAAAGAGAGAAAAGCCTTGAGGCTGGAAACGGAGAAACACAATCAGGAAATCGAGCGGGGCATCAATAAACTACACCACCGAATCTCAGGGCTGGAGGAAGGTACGGCATCATTGCAAAGGGGGAAAAATGGAAGAAAAAAGCAGAACATTCATGTTTGTGTGCAGGCGCATTTTAATGTGCCTTAATGAAAAAGAATTTTAAAATGATGAGAGAAATGACGAGTGACTGATTAATCACTCACAAAATGAATTAAGTTACTAATGATGAGAAATAATCTGGCATAAAAAATAACCCTAGAGGTTCGACTTTCTTTCGCTTTTAATCAAATCAAGCCATGGGCTTTCATTATAATGAATAAATCATGTTCAACTTGTGTAAAAGAAAAAAAAGATGAGAAAGACTATAAAATTCATACCCAGCTTAAAAAACACATCAGATGCTGTGACGAAAATGCAGTTATATAATAAAAGCTGGGAAACTGTTTGATCTGCTTAACTGGTTTCTGGTTTCTGTCACTTCCCCAGGTTTCTCAGGGCATTCTTTCCCAGAGGGATACAGATTGTCCTTCCCAACACGGACAAACTACATGTACGCTGTTGTGACGCACTCCATGCCAAAGCTGCGGGCCTTCACGATCTGCCTGTGGCTGCGCCCCGCGGAGAGAGGCATTGGGACCCCCGTGTCGTACGCTGTCCCCGAACAGCCGAATGAACTGGTGCTGCTGCAAGGCCTGCACGCTCCTGCTGAGCTGCTCATCAATGACAAGGTACTGAGAGTGTCTGACAGTGTGGGGAGTGAATACCTATTTCACAACTTCTCTGTAGTCCTCTGGATTTTCAAGGAAGCTTCTCAGCCTTTTTTCAAATGATTTTTCAGTTCAATTCAGTTTTATTTATATTGTGCCAAATCAGACAACAGTCACCCAAATGTGCTTTATCTTGTAAAGACCCTACAGTAACAGAGAAAAAACCTCAACAATCAAGGTTCAAGGTTTAAGATTCAAACAACCACCTTTGAAAAGCAGTTGGTGACAGTGGGAAGGAAAAACTCCCTTTTAACAGGAAGAAAAGGGGAAGAGCAGCCATATTCTTTGACAGCTTGGGGGTGATGGGAGGAAGACAAGGTAAAAGACACACTGTGGAAGAGAGCCATGATCTATTTGATGATTAGAACCTTAAAGGCACTCAAAGCCAGCTTCTGCTTTCTGGATGGTTCATTCTCATGTACAATGTTTGCCACTAGTGGGGTACATAAAAACCATAAAAGGGTAATGGTTTAATCCACTAGTCAGCTGGAGCCTTTCTGTGTGGAGTTTGCATGTTCTTCAGGGACTCTTCCAATCCCCGTCCAAAGACACGTTTGTTAGGTTAACCTGTGGTTCAAAAACAGCTATAGGTGTGAATGGTTGCCTCTCTGTGTGTTAGCCCTGCTACAGACTAACGATCTGCCCAGTGTGTACCCCACCTCTTGCCCTGTGACAGCTGAGAAGCTGTTAAGAATAGATGGATGGATCGATAAAAAATTATAGCCTAAATTTGAATTTCTACTGTCTATTGAGGAAGAAAAAGTGCTTTGAATTAGCATACAAATAAGCAGAACACATCAAACGAAACAGCCAATTTAGACAAGCTAAATAACCCCATTCATGTGTTTAAATGATAAACTGAGATACCACCTTGGGTTGCAGGGTAGTGTAGCGCAGTGCAGTGGCTTTAGGCACAATCCAATGAAGTCATTATGGTAATAGATGCCTGGAGAAAAAGTTGTGTGTCCTTGGAGGTAACAGAATGTCTTTGGTAAGTAAAAAGCATTATAAGAGCCATCTTTAGAACTTTAGCATCAAAAGGTGTCTAAGGGCTTTCTTATGACTTTAGAGCTGCATTTCTTTCATGCAAATGCAATCTCAGCACAAGCTGTCTGATGACCCGCCTTACCTTCAGAACTGTGGCACTCACAAAACCTCTCACAATGACATCTGCTTCATCTGGACTGCCCTTTTGTTCCCCTGCTCTTAGGTGGCTCAGTTGCCTCTGAACCTCTCCAGGGGCAGCTGGCAGCACATCTGTGTGAGCTGGACACAAAAGGGAGGAGTGTGGCAGGCCTACCAAGGGGGGAGGCTGAAGGGAGAAGGTCACGGACTAGCCGCTGGACATCACATTCGACCTGATGGAGTGCTCATTCTCGGGCAAGAGCAGGTGAATAAAATACATAATTAAGTAACTAAAGTTTTAGCTGGTTAAAAGCAGACAAGAAGCTTAGAGAAAAAGTTCGTTTGGCGAGTCCTCCTGAGTACAGCGCTGCAGTCAAAAGTTTAGCCACTGCGGCTGTGCCTCTGCTCACCTATTGGCTTCTCTGTTAGCTATAATTAAAACTAGAAAATGAAAGCATCAGTGACTTTGAGAAAGTAAGTAAATCCATGAATTATATTTTCTGCTTGCCTGCATTCAGATAGTGTGCTAAGATGTGATGCTATGAATGAGATGTGTATGTGTGATGGATACAGATCTGGTAGTTAAAAGAGCCCGCCCCACATGTCTGCTTTTGTTTCTTGGCTTGTGTTCATACTGATCACCACATCTTTTTCATTTCCCAAATTCAAATCCACGCTCTTGCCAAAGGCAACAAAAAAGCTAAAGCTGTGCTCATAGGCATTAGAAATAAAAGTACATTTATTTTAGGTATGTGTATTTTTTTTCTCCAGGATTCTCTGGGTGGAGGTTTTGACTCATCCCAAGCCTTGGTTGGAGAGTTGTCCCAGGTGGGTCTTTGGGACCGCGTCCTGACGTCCAACCAGGTGGCCAGCTTAGCCCGATGTGGCAAAATAACCCAGGGCAGTGTGATACCCTGGGCTGAGAATGGAGTTGATGTTTATGGTGGAGCAACCAAAGACCCCGGGGAGCCTTGCAGTAAACACAGCAGGAGTTCTCAGTGAACTACAGGGGAGGGTTTTGAAGGGAAAGATTCCACATCTCCAGTATTACCACTAACAAGGGACGTTCTAAACAGTAAAAAACTTCTAAAACTGTGTGGCATTGGATAACAGTTGTTTAACATGGAAAAAGAAACTAATGGCATACATTTATATGAAGTGAGAAGGGGCTGAGACACCTAACAGTCCAACAGATGCTCTTATCATCTGGAAGGTTGTGCAATACTAGATAAATACAAATGTAGTATACAAACAGATTGTATTTTTAAAGTACATATAGTCCATTTCTTAAATTAGAATATAAAATGAAAATTACAGTGTAGATTTGCTCACTTAAAAACAGCAGCTAATAGCTATTGTTAGCAGTAACAGTAGCTAATAGCTAATTAGAACTTGTATAACTACTTAGCTAAAATGCTACACTGCCATCTTTAAATAAATAAATGATTCCTCATTTTACAAAACATACTTTCTTGTTGGGAGTTTTGAGTAGAGGTATTTGAATGTTGTAAAGCAGCCAGCTAACTTAGCGTACCAAACAATTTCTTTACTTAGACATGAAAGTCCTCAATCACTTGTGTTCAGTTCAGTTGAATTTCGTAGATCCCGAAGGCTGCAGAATTAAATGAATTACCACCGAAATGCATTTTAGTGCCAATACATTCAATACTGACAGTTTTTAGTTTTACATATACTTTAGAAGTGCTTACGGCTAATAGCTGATGAGTATTATTTAAAACGGAGTTATCAAGTTCTAATAGCTTCTGTGGATTTCAGTGTTTCTGTAAAATACCTGTAGTGGGTTGTTGAGGTAGAGAAAGTTGTCATCATTTGGAAGTTCAGGGCAATCCAAGCTTCTTAAGTTTTATTGGGAAAAATAACAAACTCCAAAAAGTTCTGTTAGTGTGTATATGGCACAGTAAATGTGTTATAAGAACACACAGAGTGAATGGGTGTATTGTAAAGTTTAATGAAAGTAGAATTGTGCTATATAAATGCAGACCTCATTAACAAGAAAAAAAGGAATTACATCTGATGTGACAAGATTTGCAAGAAACTTCTGATGATTATCCAGCATTGTGAAAGGTCTTGATTTCGCTGTAAGACAACTATTTACTCCATAGATTTTGTACAAAATACAATATGAATGAGTTTAATGGCAGATACTGTAACTTTTGAAGAATGGCAGATTATGTATTTCGAACACTTTTGCTAAGTTAGCCAGCTGCTGCAGTAGTGTTAATTATATACATTGTGTGAGACTGGCAATCGCCTTTTATCAAAGTCTTAACAAGAAAGCAAATAAAGAAAATTCCAACCTGTGGAACTTTTACTTAAATCAGCTAAAAATAGTGGCTATGATGTCATTTAGCAGTCAGAACTGTGCAAAAATTGAATTTTTCAATAGAACTTTATAATATGGCCTGTTACTAACAGTTTAATTCTCTACCATAAAATACCATAAAATGCCATTTTATGGTATTTTATCTAAAATTATAATGTAATTTTTTAAACCTATAAATACTTAGATTCACTAAAAAGGGTGGTTATAATCCAATGCTTGTTTTCTTAAGGGTTTTTTTTAATAAGTAGGAATATGTACATCTATTACCAAAAATTCATCATGCGCACCAAAAAACTGACATGTATTTACAATTTAAGGTTGGAAGGTTAAACCACTCTATAATATGGGCTGCATCCATAAATGTACTGCATACTAACAAAATAAACTAAAGAAATATCATTTGTGTTTGTACCGAAACATATGGAACTTTCCACCCACCTAAATTACGTACTTTATTCCTTACTTTATTACTTTATTCTTTTTTCTAAAAACTTCACCCCCTTATTGTCATTTGAAATGGAATACTGTTAGTCGTAGGCTGTATTATAAAGTGCTACTTTATAAGCAACTTTTCCATTTATTCATTTATTTTTAAGCTGCCACATTGTATGAAAAATAATGAGTTGATCTCAGTCTCAGAGATCTGACCTCTACTATGAAAGCGAGAGGTTGTGTCAAGCCAGCAGAAACCCAGCAGGGTTGGGCAGAAGTTAATTAAGGGCTGTGACTGCTTTAGAGTTTAAAGTCAAGGTAAGGTGATGAAAAATGCTGGAGAAAGTGGTAGGAATATTAAGCAGTAGGTGGCAGCCAGGAGTAGATGATGAAAGAGAATGAAAAGAGAAAGTGGGGATAGAGATGGATCGGATACTTGTTATAAGTGATGCTACATTGTTTTCACCCCTGCATGATGTATTCATATGCTTTTATTGTCTTGCCACTGCAATGTGTTGTTCACCGATTTCACAGAAGAGGACAGAAGCGTTTGCATTCATGCAAAGGTGGCTGTCTGTGTGTCTGTCTTTAAAGGTCAGGGGGGTCTGTTTTAACCCCTAATTACCTGAAATTACAGAAATATTTTTCCCTAAGGAAATTCTCAGTACAAACAGAATGTTTTTAATGTCTTTAATGTTTTTACTCATTTCTTGAATACATTTTTCTCCATTTATGTAACCTGAGAAATTGAGAAATCAAGGTAAAAATACACCCAACCAATAAAATCTCAAATGATCACACTATACCTTATCTTCTTTAAATGGATAGATACATAAAGCCCTGCACATCTACATTCTTAGATACTCTTTGATTTTAAACATGCAGCCACTCAGTAACACGGGTGATCTGATATCTCTGTGTTGGTGTTCTTCCTGCATCATCATAATAACGTTGATCCAGTGATGTTGTCTGAGCATTCAGTTAGCAATCGAAATTTAAAGAAGTAAAGTTACTTTCTTTCCAAGCTCTTTAACTAATGGCATACATTTGTATGAAGTAAGAAGGGGCTTTATGGTTCCTTCAGAAACGCTTAACGGTCCAGCAGATTCTCTTAACATCTAGAGAGTTGTGCAACATAAGATAAAGATAAATGTAGTTTGCAAACAGATTGTATTTTTAAGGTACATATAGTACAATTTCAAAATGAACATATAAAATTAAAATTATTATATTGCTTATGTAATGTTAGCGGTTAGCTATCCGAAACGCTTATGATTAGCTAGCTTAAAAGCTATACTCTTACCTTTAAATGAAGGATCCTACATTAACACGGATGATGTCTCCGCGTTGGTGTTTTCCCTGCGTCGTCACAATAACATCGGTCCAGGATCAGCAGACCAGTGACATTGTCTGAGGTCACTGTTAGCATTAGCCAAGAAGTTAGCTAATGCTTCTAAAAATTATCACAAAAACTCAACATGAGCAACCTTTAGAAAATAGCAAACCCTAACTTGATGATATATTTATAATACTTTATGACTTAATAAATTAAAAAAACATAAAACGAAATGCCCCTCGTTAAACAAAACTTTCTTTTCACCATATTGCAAAGCTATGACATCATAACATCCTGATGGGTCAGCTGCAATGTTGATTTTGGACCAACATTATTATGATGACGCAGCAAAGCTAACAACACGGGGATATGAGATACAGTTAGTAACTATTTCAGCTGTAATACATTCCATGCATGAGTTGTACTGTTGTTTGTAATATGCCTTAGTGAGTTTCATAAAAATCCACCTCTAACCATTATTCTCGACTGGTTTATGAGACATGCTGTTGAATGCAACATTTCTCTCACACTAGCTCTCCCTAGCATACAAAAAAGATCCTTAGTGGAAAGTGCCTGCCAGGGTGTTTGTACCCATGTAAACAAATCATCAAATGAATTGTCCTGATGTAAAATTCTCATCGCAAGATATTTTGAGCTAATTAAGCATCTGCATTTCTGTGAATTCCCCGGGGCTTTTTTGAAGACGTAAGAGGTTTGAGTAAACATTTGAAAACGCCGTCACTAATTGAAACGTCTGCACAGTGCCGCCAAACTGGTGCTAAATCAGGTCAGAATCATCTTGCTGTGGCTAATAGTGTCTTTGATGATGCCTCTCAGTCTGCAGTGGCGATATTATATGTCATGCTTGGTGTCTGTTCAGCTCCCGCCTGAGCTTTGTTTGGGCTTTTTGATAGTAGTGTGGAGTTATATTGTTTACAGCTACTGGAACTGATTCTTTTCCATTGTATGCATTGGTATCTGTCTGATTTAATGTTGTTGAAATACTGTATGTCCATGTCTTGTGTGGTGTTGTATTGTTCTGCACATGTGCCCTGTACAAAACTCAAATCTTTATTAAAGTAATAATTTTCAGATGCAGTTAATGTCATCATTTCATATCAAACATTTTCTACAAAAGTGTAGTAGTTAATGTCTATTGAAACTATGAGAAATATGAAGATTTTGTTCACAGACACACACACAAGCCCACAAACACACCTGGACCTGGAAAGCAGCAGAAATAAAACCTGCTGGGAGAGCAGACTATTCTATAGTAAGACAGGTTGGCAGAATGCAGAAGAAAAATCACAGTTTCTCCAGCCATAAAGAAGGAAAAAGAAGGAAAAAGAATCATCCTTCTTTGCTTGCGAGGTTAATTAATGCATAAAAAAGCCTTATAAGCAAATTAAAGGAGAGAGTTCAAGGAGAAAAAACCCCCCCCGGAGTCTTTTGTCTCAAGTGCAGCAAGAGTATGTAGCTAGATGAGTAAACTGAGGAACTGCGAGACTCAGTGAGTCATTTGTTTTTGTAGTATTAAAATGAAAAGATTATATTTCTGTAGGAAAAAGACATAAAGGGTTTATGACCTCATTACAATGAAACACCAACAACAGCAGTGCCTGAACATGAAAGTGTTTTGTATCTGTAAGAAGAAAAAACAAAACAAAACATCTACCACTGACTTAGCACATTGGCTCCTACGGTGCCGCTTTAACCAATGCTGTTAGAGCACTCTCAGTGTTACGTCGCGAAAATACCCCAGTGCTGTGATGTCACTGAATATATTTGCTAAGTACTATATTGATTTTTAATGTACTTGTATTTTATGCTGGTTTCTAGTCTAGTGCTGACCAAAAGTAATAAATCTAACAAGAACAAGAGAACTCAAAGAGCACATCTCCCCCTGAAGGGCAACCTGCTGATGTCAGCCTGCTTTTCTTACAGTGCGATAGTGTCAGGCTATTATGACGTCACTGTGACATCGCAGGTCGCCGTATTGAAAAAATAAACTGTGTTGTACAGCTCTCTTCATGCTCTGTCATATGATATATTACTCAATATGGTTTCTTGAAATTTTGTTTGAAGGTCAATTTGGGCACTAACAGTGAAGGTCAAGGTCAAATGCTCATTGTTAAGTTTGATGATGAAAGAATTGTGGGTAAGATGATGTTTTACTGTTTTTGGTGTGACCTCGACCTGATTTTCACCAAAATTAAATCAGCTGGAGTTGTTTTTGGTATCTATCATCACACAAAATGTTAAATATATCTTGAAAAATGTGGACGATCGACTGCTAACAAACAGGCAGAGACAGATAAACAGACAGAACTGATTAAATCCTCTCTCACTTCAGGAGGAGAATAACAGCAGTCATTGTTCCCTCAGCTGCTAGACTGCAGAAGCTACTAGATAATCATTAAAATAGAATCAATTTATTAAACTTTTAAAAACTGAAGGCAGTGTGGCTTTGCCTTACACCTCTGTTCTTTCTTCCTAACACTGAGCAACTCATTCAACTGGAAAAATCTTTGATTTGAAGTGTATAGTCTTAACAGCATTGAGATCATTTTAATGCAGAATTATGTTTATTTAGTAAATTATGGTCCGAAAAATAAAACAAAATGCTACTTTGTTAAAATGCTGGGTTGTCACATTTGTGAGATGAGGCTGTCACTCTGAAGTAGTCATTTTAACCAAGGAGTTTGTAGTCACTAATACTAAACATACAGTTAGTTTTTCTTTTTCAGTATCTCTAACAGAAAAAATGACTTTTGTGTTCATAAATAAATCTTGACTGTACATGTTTTATCATCTGAAAAAGGGTCTCTTTCAAAGAAGCAAAAACATGAAAGAAAGAAACTTTACAAATGACATCTAGATGAAACGTGCTCCTCTTCCTCCTCACCTCAAGCCTCATCTCCTGAACTGAAGTCAGGGCTCTAAGACCGAGTGAGTGTTCAAAAGGTGAATGAATGAATGCGATTCCAACCTGACGATCCACAGAAGGAGGTGAACAGGAGGACAGGCCGGTGAGCACGGTGAATATTCAGATTCCAGAGATGAAACAGTGGAGTTGTTTGGAGATTCTTGCCAAGAGGCCAGCCCGTAGATATTGACAGCAGCCGAGCAGCGATGGCGCAGTGAGGAGAACTGTAGACACAGGAAAACGTGGCAAGTACAACAATCTGAAGTGAAGACACAAGGTGAAGGAACGATGGTTGCTCATCTCAGTGTCGCTGTCATCAGACAGAAGTGAGCATCACTGACTCACCAACCCATATCAGACTCCTTTCACAAAGCTCTACAGCCTCCTCCAGAGTAAATACACTTGGAAGCTTCACACCTGACGTATTGACAGCTGAGGTAAACAGTGCACTGACAAGCCGACCCAGATAGCAAAAGACACCAAGTGGATCTGGTCCGTAGTCAGCGTGATCTCTGGGAACACTCACTGCAGATGAACAGAGTTTTTAAATTATTTGATTGACATAAATACATTTTGTGAGCTTTAATTAGACACAAACCCTTTAGACTTCAGTCTAAACTGATATGAAAGCAGTTTATTCTCATGTAACGTTAAGCAAGAAAGCAGGTAAAATGTCAAGAAAATAAACACTGTGAACTTTCCCCAATAAAGTATTAATTCCAATGCAGCTCTCTTTTGCTGGATTGGATAAAACCCCACCTGTGTGCATCTTACTGTAGGTGTGATGTAACTGTGCAATCCCAATGCCGATTTTTCTGTGTATTAGAATAGAATTTATATCTCACTCACTGTTCGCTCTTCCTCTGCTCTGCCATCCTCCACTCTCACCCTCCACTCATCTTCTCACTCCTCCTCCCCTGCTCTCACGTTACAATTCTTTTACACTCCCTTCTTCTCTCCTTGTTTACTGTGACATGCTTTTTGCCCAAACCCCATCCATTTGTCAGCCACTGCCTAAGCCAAGTCACCCTCAAGTTTACTGTAAAAAACACACCCTCCAAAAAAACAGAGAGAGGGAGAGAGGAGCCTACACAGCATGAAGGCTCAAGTTTTCAAGATTGCTGTCAGAAAGCTGTCACTTTTACAGACTTGTTTGCAAACAATGAGGGAGGCATGTGTACAAGATTTGTAAAAACACAGCCATGAGAAGGGATTTAACAAAAAGTAACTCTATGTATGCTTCTTTGCCTCGAGGCATAAGTCATGGTATGACATTTCTGAGTCTTTCACGGGCCTGCTTGTACCACCACTGTGACGGTTTGACAATCTGTCAAGAGACTACTAATAAAAATGCAGCAATCATACCTGTAGGTGCAGGTAGTTTACGGCACTGAGAGGTACAGAGAAAAACCTGTAATCCCTAATTAGCACGACACAGATGAGCGCCGCTTTTTAACACAATCCTCCTTTTCAGCGGTGGACTTACATTTAAACTCGAGCAGAGGTTCTCCAGCTTGTGCCTGGCAGTCACAGTCAGCTGTCTGATGTCGCACAGTTAGATCTTAACTAAGTCAAAGCCCCTCTAACCGTGTTACTGTGTGGCTGCTGTGTACGAGGAGCTGCTTATACTCAGTACTGGGCTGGAACATCATTTTAACACTGATGGTATCCATCAGTAGCCACTGACACAGTCAGAATATTCCCAACACAAACCACTTTAATCCTGTCATGTTTATATTCAATTAAATATTACTCAAAAGATAAAGTAAAAACTCTTAGCGTTGTTGAAATCTCCCAATTCTTTGAATCTTTGGGCTGAAGGAGGGACAATACTCGGTGTATTTATGCTCAGGCACATGTCTCAAAATGGTGACGGGTTGCTCAGCTTTTTATAGTCTCTAGTGGCCCCCAGCTAGTCGTAAAAGCCAAAACATCACATTCTTTCTCTGTTACAGCGCCTAAGTTATGACCTCGGCAGTTGTCTCTCTGCTTTCTGTAAGGTGGGGGTGTGGAATGTAGTCTATCTATCTCCCCTGTCTTTAGACACAGAGTCTCCTGCTTACAACCTTCTCTTCATGATTCAACAATTAAGCATGTCAAGAAAACAGTGTAACACATTCCCAGCAGATCAAGGATACAGAGTGATGCACATTTATCTAATGAACTAATATGTGAATATGTTCTTTTAACTCAAAAGTATAACGAGAACTAAACTACATACAGATCACACACTCTATATTAAAGGGTATAATATGATCTACAGCAGTATTCTAATTCAACTACTTTGATTACATATATAAGGTAACATATAATAACAGAATAATATCACAATTCCCCCTTTGATCTCTTTTCTTCAAAGAGATCACTTATAACATGCACTCCAGCATTGCAAGGTCCAGGTTTTCTTGATCCTGAGGCCCTCTGTCCCCCTTTAACGGGTGGACCATCTGTGGGATGACCTCTGTGTTCACGCAGTTCAGATGCAAGCAAAGTTAGATTTACAACCATAACAGCAGTTACAGATGACACTCCCATCACTCCCCAATTCTCCCACAGCTTTATTTTGGTGCTCCAGTTTTCCACCCCCTTTTTAATGCCCCCTTATACCTTTCAAATGTACTTAGACTAGAACCTCTGTCTAAGGAGCTTTTAACCTTTATTTTTATTGCTGCAGCTACCAGTGTCTTCCAGTTGGGTGATTCTCAGCTTCTTTCTTCGACCTCCGGGGTTAGACCACCCTTTAGTCATTGCACAGTTCTGGGGATTATTCTGCCCTGATTTCAAACAAGGATCTGTGTGTTTTGGGGTCACCGGCGTGTCCCCCTTTTTGCCAAGAGTCTCTCGAACCTCGTTGGTCTGGTGTTCCTGGTTTTCGCCAACCCCTTCATGGTTATTGCTGTGTTTGTGGGATCCATGTTCTCCAGGAGCCCAAACGCCATGACACTTGACCCCAGTTGCTGTCTCGGCAGTCCCTACATCTGTCTCTTCTGTGAAGGGTCCTCACCTCTCCGGGTCCCCGTCTGTTGTCTGTTCCTTTCTCTGCAAGAGACAGAAAACCAAAACACCTCTCTCCCTAGCCTTGATAATCTAATATTGTTATCCATTGTTCTTCTAATGATTCAAATTTGGTTCAAAATATTATGTTCAGGACTTATTCTAATCATAATCTATG